AACGATGAAATAGCCTAAAAGGGATCAACTACATCTGGTAGCATCTGAGGGGTGGACACCGTAGCGAAAGAACTTCAATATCTGTGTGGCATACAAACGTTAGAGAACCTAAATTGAGGAAGTTAAGCAATGCCTTATGCAGATGCGGGTGTAAGGAATGTAAGTGGTTCTTCAGTTTGCTGAAAAAGACAAATTTTAAATTCAGTTGGTCAGATACTTTGTGTCGAATAGCATGAAAGCCCAGTCCTTGAAGGGCATCAGTTACCTGATGGCGTTTGTTGGAGGTTGGGGTAATCCCAAAATTATCACTATCAAGCCTTGATGTAGTGGGTATTGGGGAAATTTCATTCAGGTTGCCAATTTCAATTTAAGCCTGAGGTCAGAAAATATTCCAGTCAGGTAACCCTTGTTGGCCCAATGATGAAATATTCATTCTATGAACAAAACGGTGTTCGCCTGCACCCTCCGGAACCCTGTCCTATGTAGCGGCTATTGTAGAAAACAGTCAGTTGGTAGCGGAGTTTTTGGAGACGTTAAGCATGAACGCGAATTGGCACACAAAAGTACAATGCTTAAGTACACAGTTTCACTAACCTAGATTTATTCAAACCATTATTCAAATGTGCAGATCGTCGTTTGAATTTTAGACTTCTTTGATTCTGTGATATCAACAAAATAAAACAATTAAGTTCCTCGTCCGTTACTCGCAGTGTTTCAAACTGCTACCTTTTAGTCTCATCATCAGTACACAATGTCACACATTTCGCTCCAAAAGTCGGCATAAACACCATTGACGATGGTTCATTCTGCTCGGTAACTTTATGCGGCTTGTTCTGTAGCTGTATCAGATTCACTTGTCTTGATCTCCAACCTTACTGTTGAGAAACAAAAACGGGTCCTCTTCAATGATAGCCCGAATTTCGCTAACCAGAATGACTCCTTTCGGGTACCTGAAAATGTCTTCCGTTGATTTTCCTGCATGTGAATAATGATTGGACAGTCGTCTTCGTTTCATTTCGTTCCTGCACCATTGACAAGTTTTTCCGTGCTGTCCTCTGTTCATCTTTTGGTAAATTGAGCGGTTGGTCACATGCTGATCGCCCGATCAACAGGAGAAAGTATATGTTGATCGCAAGTAAACAAACTTGCCGGTACTGGACAGTAGCAACAGGTACAGTAAGTCAATTCGTTTTCCGACCAACCATTTTGGCCGACAGCGAAAAATTATTTTTTCGCCAGATGCATTTCGTTAGGATATTCGCCTGAGACTAAAACGGTATTATCTACAATCGTTTGCTGCTGAGCCATGCTAAGAAGATCCTGATTTCTTCACGCTCGAACGAGTTGCTCCATTGAGAGCATCTCTAATGACCTGTGGTTTACTGAAGTATGAGGCATCAATGAACATCCAAACATGGTCTTTTTTGATTCGTCATAACTGTCGACTTGATCCGTCGCAAAAGGTGTTTTGTTATCTTGACAACTCCTTATTCAAGGATTAGCTGAGCTAATGGATAATCCCATCCTGCTGCTTCAATGCTGATCTGACGCGCCCGCTACTGACGCTTGTTTCGACAGTAAGAGCTTCTTTGATCCCCGGTAACTTAATGGTAAACTACCGTTGAGGCAACTGTGCTTAATTACGTTTGAAGGCTTTGTGTGACTCAGCTGTTTACCCAAATCCTCGTTCTTATGGTTAGGATCGGACTAAAATATTGACAAACACTTCTTGTTCGAAGAGTGCTTTGGATTTGTGACCAAACAGTCCTCATTTTTGGTCAGTTTCTCCTGCAGGAGCTTGGGTTTTCCCTGAACAATCATGTGAAAGGTTGATGTCATCGTATTTTGTATAAGTTGTGTTGGCCCGAGAGTTACGCATACCGCGCCCCCTCTGTGAAATTCCGCAAAGAAATTGAAATTTATTAATTGAAAGAAGAACGAAAAATGAAGAATGCCTCTAACAAGGCGGAATGCATTCCACCAAACTGATATTACATGCCTCCAAATGCGAACGCCTTTCCTTGAGATCTTCCAACGTGATGGCCACTTGCCAGTAACCAGACAAGAAGTCATACGAAGTTGACTCTTGTAACTGATTTGCTGCGAATGAGGGATTGCTACTACCGGGCTACGCATGAAAGCATCCAGACTGCGGAAACCACGCAAAGTCAGCGTCTCATTTGGCTTCCTTAGCCAAGCCCCTTTTAGCTTCCTTGGTTATATTATCTTCACACGTGTCTCGCCCTATTTCTGTGAATGAATCGAGAACGCCATGATGTCGAAGTCTCCCAAATAGTCGGTCCACAAGGTAAATACAAGAAAGACCTCCGGGTGGAAAAGCTCTGCAACTCTGTTGATCGCAGCATACCCTACTAGACTACCACGTGACAAAATGTTCAGATAGATGCTCCGTTCACGGTGGCACTATGATGACCTTCAAGCTTAACTTGCCTCGTTTCCAGTTCAGAAATCATTCCGTGTCGCAGGGAAACTCCGACAACAAAACCGTTCATTTTATATATGGGTTTTATAAAAAAAAGCCCCGTTGTACTAACCTTTCGCCTATATCCACTGCATCCAATGGAACTCCGTCAGTTTTTAAACAATCTTGGCGTTATTACGCACGATTTTATCATTGCCCCACATTCATTCTGATATAAGAACACACCTGTCTCTGTAGCAGTTAAGCGAAACTACCTGTTCCCGTATATGTGAGCTACTGCCTATATAGTTGCTTGGGTTATCAGAGCATGCACAGCCCACCAGTAAAATACGAGTACAAAACACGCTTTCTAACACACTGTACACTAAGGCGCTTTTCATTACTCCAGCTGTCAACTTGGCCACATTAGTACCTTTTGTGCCCTTACAATTTTGTTGTTTCCAGTATGGTCAATTCGTTGACCAGCTGGTTCCCGCAGATCCTACGACAGTGAACTATCCAGATGGCTTCCGGCTCCAGCCTTACTGATGAAGTCACCATCTCCCATTCTAGGCGGACCAAATAATCAAAGCTCAAACTACCACGCTTTCACCAAACGCATCTAAGTCCCAGGCGGTGGTAAGACTTCGTCAACGAACTGGGACAAACAAAAGCTGACGTCACAGCTCATCCACCACTGCAAATTTGCCAACATGATAGGCGCCATTTCCTAATCTTGAAATGATCTAGAGCCGCATGCTGGCAACCCCAAGAGTTGAACTGTTGGACGATGACGTCTTTCAGACCGCTGTCGGGATCACCAGACTGTCACCGACATATTTTAGTTTCCTCCATGACGTCTGAATTGCTATTTCCTTCGAAAACCTTAAACCACGGAATGACCATCCTTTTCTTGCGACCGCAAAGCAAAGTAAAATGAGTCAATCATTCACAGAAGCGCCCATCTTCAGAAAGTTTCTCTCCATATCTGGGAGATACGTTTATGGTTCGCACATGTTTAATTAAGGTCCTGTACTTAAATATGCAAGTTCACAACTGCACCTATAATGGTATTTTTAAGAAATCCACGTGTTTTATACATTATATCGCTGAGTCCCGTGTATATGTTCCATTTACCTGTATTTCGACCAACCATATTTTCCCTTCCCAGACCTCAGGACCTAGTAATCGATAATGTTAGGGTTACGGTACATACTTTTAAAAGTTATAACTAGATAAGGAGGGCGAGTAATTCACATGCTGCGCGAACCTTCTGTCTGAGTAGTGCTCCCCCAAGGAACTAGTCAACACTTAACCACGTGACATGACACGTGACGTGTGACTGCACGATGAATGGAGTTAGATAACGTACGAGTTATTCACACTGCTGCTAAGCTGCTAGTGATTTAACGGTGCAATTTTCACTTACAAATCAGCATGCGGATTAACGAAGAAGATCAAAGAATAAGTTATTTTATCAAAATGTCAAAATGTGAAGTGAATCTATATGTAACTAACACAATTTCTGTCACGCACTCAAAGTTTTACGTACAATAAATTTTTTTCCACGGGAACGCCATTAATTCAAATTTGGAGGACTCATTTTATTTAAAATGCACTGACAGTAGAAAAATCGTCCCAACATTCGACAGCAGCAAAGAATACTTGAGATATTGCAAAAATACTGTAGACGGGCTTTAGTAGTGCGGAGACAAGTATATTCATAGTAATATCGATGGTTTAGATAGAGGCCCGCCTAACTACAACGTTAAAGATCACGAGTATTTTGAAAGGCAATCTAACGCCGTCAGACTCTAACAGATTGGTTCACCTCAGTAAAATAGTTACTAATGGATTCCTGCATAAGAGTGCATAAATCTACTTTACTCGAAAATGGATTATTCCAAAACACGAACAGGCCTGCTGGAATTATGCAGAGAGAAACGGCCTATCGGTATTACATACCGAAGTTACACCGTATTTCATGTAAGCGCACGAGCTTCCGTGTGCGCATTTTTGGGCTGTTCGCACCGTTGTGCAGTGAGAACGGTTGTGCACAACCTTGACAGTCAGACTGTCATCAAGCTTGCGTGGATATTTTCCAAACCGCACCGCCTCTGATTCCATAGTTGGCGGAATCAAAACTAAATGATGCGGACTAAGCAGGCCTACATGCTGAATATTTGCTTAAAGTGACAACAGACGAAATTCGCTGCCGCGGAATCAAGAGACGTTAAAGAATCTACGTCTGGCATTCCTTGGAAAGACAGCACGTGGATGGATAAAATCATTAGACGGTTTAATTGTTCGCGCATGCGTGAGTAGGCAGCTGCATGAGCTCTCGCTTCGATCCGTTCAT